AAGCAATTTTAAAAGCTGTGATTGTCCAGAGAGACATCAAGTTTATGAGTAAATAAACTTTTCCTTCGTTCAAAACATGGCTCAATCCCAATTCTGAATGTCCGCCTAAGGATAGGCATTTTGCTCGTATATTGGGAGAGCTCCTTTGCCTAAAATGGACGTGTGTGGTACGAAGTTAAAAGAAAAACGTTTTCTGGACGTTGCTGCACCGTACAATAAACCCGCTGACGCCAAATCTAAGGGGGAAATATTTCTGCATTTAATTCGCATCTAGCCCTTCCTTTCCTGTACAGGGTGGAGTGGGAACCTCTGTGGGCGTACCCCGTTATTCAGGGTGGACATCACGCTAAAGCTACCTGTTAATTCCCACTAATTTGTTCAACGCCGGAATAACGTAATACCTCAACAATACGTATCCTAATATTGACACTAAAAACTAATAAAAGTTCTTTACGGTGCCATGAATTGTAAGCAGCCCAAATCGGTGGGTTGTCTTTCCCCTGACAAATGGCTTTATATCGTTTCACAAACACTGAAAGAACAAAGCCACCACTTACAAGTATGCGCGAAGCGTGCATACATGGGGCCAAAACGAAGGGCTAACTTCCGCCACAATGAAGCCAGGTTGCCAGTCAATTTTCAACGCAGAGTGCGGACACTTTCGGTGGTAGTTGCAAGGGTAGCTGAGGACAGCTCCCAATATAATAAACACAAACTCCCGCAAATTAAACCATGGCGTTTGATATTTGAGAAAAGCAGCCAACATCCATCGTTTTACAGGCAGTCGATTATATACCAACTGAGTTGACTCATGGGTGTGAGCTAGAAGGTCAGAAAGATAGGTGAAATAGTGCATTCTTGGATTTTAGACCTGTAAACCAGCGCTTCGCATACCGCCTACTGATGGAGAATACGCACAACTTTTTGGCCTCGACCGGTTCATAAAATCGACAGCTCTTGGGGCCACCTGCAATGTCAGATATATTGTAGAAATTTGTTACTACATTTTGTTTTTCACTGATACCACAAGTTCATATCTGAAGCTCTCGTTTAACGGTGCTTAAGGGACCGTGAAGCAATAAAACTCATTAGCAACCAAAATCTCACGGAAAATCTCCTTTTGAGGTAGGTGTGCACTTTCTGAGTCCCACTCGTGCAACTGTGAAATCAAAATGCATCCCAGAGTTACGGGAAAATATCCATGAAAACGAATTCAAACGGCCGAGTGCACACATTTTCGGTTCGAGCTAATAGGTAAAAGAAAGCTATGTTCAAACACACACGAAGTTTTTTCGAGGTAAATATTTGTGGTCGTGCAACAGATTACCGCAACTTGATCTAGGGAAAAACGGCAATGCCGGACTGATTGACCATAAAAGGATTTGTAAATACCAAACATCTGGAAAGTAGCAATTGAACTGAACTTCAAACATCAGTAAGCGCTTAAAAGATGGAAGTGATATAATGCCGGGATGAGCAAACTTAGAACGATATTTTGCAAGGGTGTTATGCGCAGCTGAATACTAACTGGATAGATGTTTGCGGAAGGGATGTTTTTGTATTGCACAGCAATTTTTAGGTCTGTGGCGGTTGCATGACATCCAAGTCATAAACAGTTCCAAGGTAAACATACAGAGTTATTGAATTAACTTCACAGTTCTTAAGCAGGCGAGCATCCGAGAAGTGGGGCTTATTGGCGCAAGGTCTCGCGCAACAGGCTGAAATGGGATCTTCCCATAGCTTTGAACCCTGTGCCTCATACAGCAACCTAACTATTGAGCCTTCAAAATTAGTATTATTACCGTATGTGATGAGTATAATTCCTAGCACTCAACACGTTTTTGCCACTGGTTTCCTTCCGCTTACGTGGGTTCGCTAAAGGGGGACAAATTCTTCAGGACACACCGTATACATTCCGTTGCGCCCGCCCACATGTAACCGTCTTCCAATATTTGGTTTCGAAAAGTTTAAGGCTCTGGTTAACAAACGAACTAGTGTTTTGTACGGTTTAGACGACCCCTACGCAGTGTTGAGCCCAATATGACTGCCGCAACTTGAGATGTGCATGACGTACGCATGTTTGATTCTTTTAATTACTGTTTTGGGAAGAATTTTCGTAGCCATCCATTACAGAAGGAAACGAATGGTGCTACCTAGAGTCATGCATTGCCGCTGCCTCCTCAAAGCTCGTCTGGGACACTCACGGACCCCATGTGTTTTCTTGGTCGCCCATTATCTGATTACTATACTGAGCGTAGTGAAATAGTAGTATGTGAAATGTCATGCCACAACCTGCGGCAGTTAGTCCATTAGATACATTAAAGCCTAACTTGCAGCAACCTTGGCAGCATGCTTCCTTCGAAAATTGATTTGAGTCGCTCTCACAAGCAGATATTAAATGCTGAGTTACACGCATCCAATACTGCAGGCCTCTATGACTGGCCCTCCCAACTTTACCGGAAGGCCGTTCGTCTTTAGCAAGGCTGCAATGAATTTCTGTTGCTTTGTTGCTGCGGTTTTTGCCCCTCACACAACGGTTGTTTCATTCTTGGCGATATACTGGTAGCTTGTAGCCCGATAACACGCTATCACTCCTACTTTGCGGCGATTTTTGAACTTCCCTTCAGGCGTGGGGTGGTGACATGAATTGCGTTTGCATCCTCCATGAAGGAGAACTTCTGTGGCACAAAATCTCCATGATCATCACTTTCCCTCCAATAATGTCCTGCAGCAGTCCGTTAACCGAATCATTATTTTTCAAATGACGCTATGACAGTTTTAGGCCGTTGCCGAAAAGGTAAACGGAATCGCCTTCAGTGCCCACCTTGAGCCGTTGGTTGACAACTATGGAGGCCCAGCTACCATCACGCTGAATGGAGGTCATATTTCCGAAACCCCTATTTGTTTCTCACAGTTGTGGAAGGCGTGGAGGACGTCCACCTGGAAGGATGTCACCCACTTTTTAGTAGAGTAGTGGAACCTTCTTTAGGTGACATGTGTTCAGTACACGCTTATTGGAATCATTTATAGCAGGGCATCATTCTAATGATCGCTCTCATCATTCGTAGACCCGTTAGGCCGAACGTATACTATGCAACATGCGGATCATTCCTCGGCGCCCAATTTAAATTTCAGGCTAGGTTGTCTAAAGTAAGTCACGTATTGTGATTAATTTGGCAGCCGCGCAACTACGCTGTCTACCATGCCAACTTAAGTCATAGCTCTTGAGGTGTAAACTTGTCACATTTGCATACCATTGCGTTCGGTACGCCTCGAATCTTTGTATAGAACTCCCTAGTAAGCGTTGCAAGGCAGAAACAAGAGTTCCGTCAACTTCCGGCGCAGTAACTCAGATGCGGCTGAAGCACCAAGTTATTTGAGAAAAGTATTGAGGGAAACAATAATTCCCGAATAAATGAGTTGCAAGAATTCAACAATTTAACTCGTGATTAATCGGAAAATGCGGCATTTCAGTACCGAACATTATGAGTGATACAGCAATATTCAGGAGAGCTTTCCAGATGGGGGATACGTAAATTTTTCAGAAAGGGGACTCACAAAAAGCACCCAGAAACTCTCTTGAATAAATTCAAGATGCAATGTGAAGAATCGTTGGAGGAAGATAATTTTATTTTCAAACCATCCAAGATGGGGAAAACTGTTGTTCACTAAAGGTGTGTGTCCATGTATTCGTCATGTATCGCTAGTCAACAGTGAAAAACTGGTCGGCTTAGCTCTGCTCGAAGGTATGATTGTCAGTTCCCAACAGGTGAGCGATCAAAACTGCGACCATTTCATCATGAGTTATACAAACCACTATCCGGTAAGTCCATCGGACTTACGCGACGCTTGCTCCGAAAAACCAGCGCAACCGAATGGACAGCAAGCTACCCAAAGTGAACCAACGGCCTCTGGGAAGGAAGTCTCAACTATTTTTCAAAAAGCTGACTACAGGAGGTATAGCAGATAAAGTTGCGTTCCGTAAAATGCGGAACCGCTTTGAATCAGAAATCCGCCAGCTGAACAAGCCACGATAGTGGACCTCTTCTCATTGAGAGACACGAACGTGGAACACACGAGTGGCCCGATAGTGGTAGGTGAAGTGTACAGAGTACACTGTGCAGGCCTTTATTCTGCCCAGCGACCTCTTCACACCCAATCTTGTCATGGCGTGACTACGAACGGGCTTCGATCAACTTGCTGTTCACGGAGGACGATACTTGCCAACTCCTGCAAAGATAAACCGTCCTTCGCATTTGGACCAGACTTGGTCCATCCATGGATCCTCAATGAAGCGACGCGTACGCATTATTTAGATCAGAAAATCAGACAATTTCACGTCGGAATCGGCGAGCGTGAGTCGTGCATTTGCAGATCACTGAGGAAAGTGAATGGATACCAGGCTACATTCGAATTCTCAGCAATGGCAGGGCATGCATTAGACATTGGGTAAATGATAGATTTGGAAAATATAGACACACGGTCACGGCCTTCACACCCGATCATCCTGGTATCTTACATGGTCCGACCAGGCTCTTGTGTCAAAAACGAAACATTATCCAGCAACAAATCCACCGAGTGTTAACCAAATCTCTCTGAGACGATGACTTCTTAATAGATTCCCAACCCGTCCCAATTGAGTAGTTAGAAATGCTTTGTTAATTTTTGAGATATTTCTTTCAGGAACCTTGGATGAACCCCATCTGGCCCGAACGCGTTGTAGGACTTTGTCATGTCTAAAGTTTGACGAACATATTCCTCTGTTCGTAATTGGGCCTTACCAAGTTTGGATGTGTTGAGGTTTCAGGAACAGAATACAAGTTTGGATAATGCCCTCTGCTGACACTGCAGATACTGGTTTGGTGGTTCACTGAGAGCCGCAGCTATATAGAATAATATCTTGTATCACGCGGTTCAAAGGACTGTACATCCTATGCCCTGAGCGCCTCAACCAATCAGAACGTTGGGTTGGCTCAATCCCCACTCATTTGTTTGTTGGCCCCAAGTCCAGCTCACCATGTTAACTCTTCAATTTATGTTTATATGTATAGTGATGGCTGTATGAAATGGAATGGTGGGCTGATTGCTTAGCCGTCAGGAAACAGTGTACACAAGCTTTTCGCCACTCTGCTTTTTGAGGGGGATTTTTGCCGAATAACGTCTGTAAATACTGACTCCATTTTCAGGTCTCGCTTCAAGACTGGTTTTCGTGTTAATTAGATTGAAGCGTTATAAGGATTCTGTTAATTTGTATCCGTGGTACCAACTACTTGAGTTAGGATTACAATGGGGGATATATACTCAAAGCCAGAACCCGGAAACCCCAAGCCTCCTGCCAATATACCCGCTGGTACCTCTCAAAATTCACGGACGAGAGAAGTTGGTACGAACGGGTCACATCACTCTGGAGGCGATCCACTGTCCGGTCCAACTTTGGAGGCCTTGTCGCGAATCCAAGGAGGGAACCCCCAGGTGATATCAGTTGGTAATCCTTCTGGGTCACGGAGCAATCCCATAGCTGACCAAATATTCAACTCGGTGGCAGTTAACCGCGGGACGAGACCCCAAGATACTGCTAGCAACACTGCCGCGTTGTCATGTAAGTGCTCTCTTTTTCCTTTTAGGCTTCGCCCCAGATTGAGAGTATTTTTACGCCTGGTTAAATAAGCTCACCCAAATCCAACGAATCCTGGGTGAGGTAGGCGATTTTAGGTGAACTGCTCCGTGCCCAGACTGATCACTTGAGAGAATGTGCCACCCACATTCAGCCAATTCACAGGTGAATTTCATGATTTCAGCAGACCCATTTGGACTTTGAGCAGTATGATAGAACCAGGCACTACACATACAACATACGGTGAACCAGGGACTCACTGGTTTTCATGTAAGATTATATAATCGTTCAGCTGTAACACATTTTCGGTATCCATTTGCCATGCCACCCGAAGAAAGCACGAGGGCCGGGCTACTGCCAGGTCGCTCAAGCCATATTCGAACCAGCAAGCCAGCGGCCGTGTGGCGTTGTACCCAACTTGTTAGCTTATGCATGCTAGGTGCTCTGAAAAGCATCGTCTCGTTTCTTGATGTTGTCGATGGACGGACCCTCAACCACTCGGTTGAGAAAGCTGTTCCATAGGTTGACTGTTCAGTTACTAGAAAATTACGTGCGAAGTTTAAGTTGACACTTTCAATGAGTCCCAAAATGCTCCCGCAATTATATTCTATTTGTAAAATCCTACTCGGCGTTGAGTGTCACTGATAGACCAACCAATCTTTTGTGAACTTCTGAGATCTTGTGCTCCACAACATTATAGGTCGTATGGACCCAAATGTCATAGTCCTTATAAGGTAATCGACCAAGTATCTTGTGGAGCCCTTCAATATAGTTTTAGTTGTTTGAGATATGAGTTCTAACCTTGATCGCAGTACTCAAGATGTGGCTGGGCGAAAACAGTATATATCACAGTGACGGCTTGTCACTGCCCGCTTCGAGACAAGCGTTGCAGGGAGCTGGTGTGCAGTACCGTTGGCAATAATTGCGTGGGAACACCCACATGTTCAATCTCTCCCTTAGTGACCTATCATGTTTTCCTCATCCGTGTGTTGGTTAGTAGAGATACTTTATGGTGTGAAACCCACTCAGCTACTGCTTTCAGGTCATTCTGCAGTTGCCTCACCTAGTCCCATAGCGAGAAGCCACAAGGGTTAACCAATTCCATGACCAAATGAAAGGTAATTTAAATGCATGGCGGGCTCCATCCTTCGCTGCGAAACACTACTGATCGGTGCTGTCGGCTTTGTTGTTGCATCTCCTGCCTTCACACAAGGAATCCGGTTACTCAGAAATTCGTCCATGCAGTCACTTCATAGCGCTTCAGGCTTGAGAGCAGCAGCCTACCTTTTACAGAATCGAAGGCTTTCTACGAGTCTGGCTACCGAACACTCACCTCAGTTACTCGACTGCGTTATTTGTTCCAATTCCTCAACTGGATCAGGCAGTCATGGTTTATCTAGTGTGGGCGAACCCCATCCTGGAAGATGAGTAGCCCCGACGGTACCCAGACTTTTCATAATCGTCTTCATACCCCTCTGTCAGGTCAAAGGTTGACCACCTCTCTACTTGCGCCTCTATGAGCCGGGTGCGAAAAGCGGCACTTTTTTCGACAACGGGGCGCAATACATAGTCGAACTACCGCAGTTTTTGGTGTTAGATACATTTATGAAGGGACACATTCTTCATTACTTCGTTTTGGGTGTGTGCGTCTTGTCGGCTTGGATGACACGTTTTAGGGGCTGGGACGTCCATGCTTGGTAACGTGATCTTCTGGCGCATTCTTTACGGGGATTACAACGGTTTCTTTCGAATTACTTCGAACTGTTAATGCTTCCAAAGCTCTAGTGGAAAGTTAAGCTGGTGGCGCCACTGATATCATAGGCTTCAGCAGAGGGGACTGCGACAATTGCCGACTGAGAACTTCACCCCATCTTCGAACAATGCGAGTGGGAGGTCATCCGGACCAGAAGTTTGATGGCGTTTGAGATAATACATGCAATCGTAAACCTCAGAGGCCGTAGGTTATTCGACGTTCACCGGCCCGGATAATACGTCAGTAGTAGGTTCTAGATGCGTGCAGCTGGTGGCCGTAATAACTGTTTGAAATATTCGGCCCATGGTCAAGGCATCCCTCTTTATTTTTTAATGGCCACTTCATTCTGATCCTTGATGGTTGGTTTCCGGTGGTCGGTCGCACGGATCAACTGAGTTAGTCTTCGAAAGTTAAAGTCTAAAAAGAAACAACGTTCTGTTGTACTGCCTTGTCATGCTCTTTTACCGGATAATGGGTTGTTCAAACCGAAGAATGAACTCCTAGTGTTTTTGAAGCTTTCTTCTAAAGATCCCCATCCGCAAGACAGAGGAGTAAAATGAAGAGTCATCAATTCATATTGGGATACTTAAACGGTTTTATGATGCGATCAGACGTTTTTGGGGCCAAATGCATCTTTGTTCCTCAAGGTTACTGGTGGTCCTCGTAGGTCTGGTTTGAGCCGTAACCAGTTGCCGCACCACCCAAGGATGTTCTGAAATCGGGTTTAACCAGCTTCACCAAGTAGAGCGGTGGTTCGTCAACCTGATAAAATAACCGGATACTCGTTCGCGCCATTCGTTATAAGAAAGCGTCTTCCTTCACGATGTATAGATAAGACTTCCCCATCAAACGCTACTTAGTGAGTTTCTTAGGTGCATTCACGAGAGCTTGAGTCTGCTAGACTAGTATCCGACGCACCCATTCCAGACTGTGCTCAGGCATTTGGAAGGATTTTACTATCAAACTATGCTTCAAGACACATTGAAACGGGCAAATCCTCTCTACCGGCAACAGGAGAAATCATCCGTATGTAGTTGCTTTTCGACCTTGTGGTTTTAAGCTAACTCTCGTAACTTTTTGAGTACTGGAACACGCTACTGGCTTCGATAGCATTACACCGAGGGCAATAGTGAAATGCACCCGTTAATGTTGTGTGAGTATAGGAGGGCAATCATTCATTGACCGAAAGCCGTGCAGGTTAGACGAATATTTCATTTTCCTCGGTTTTGATATCCTAAGTTGACGTGGCTGTTGTATAACCACTTGGTTCGCGGGAAGATAGAGCGCGTATCAGGAAACAAGTAATGCATGTGTATGGTTGGGAACTTCCCATGACTGAGCCGAAAACAAGATTGCAACCCTGCACTGACTTAGTATCTTACTTTAGTTTGCGTCATCATCATTTGGATGCGTCTCAATTTTCTCTGTGTATGTATGGTAGACCTCCAAAATCGGACCCCTGATTAAAAGACTCGCTGCATTTAGGAACATTCTAAAGGTCTATAGTTTTAGTGTGGAGTGTCGCCGGAGCGGATCGGGGACGTAAGGCGAGTCTTCCCAGCTGAAACCTTCGTAGTAAGGAAAACTGCCCTGTTAAATGCTTTACTCTTTGTTACTGAACGCCCCATTATCTATTCTCACTAGCGAGCTGGTCAGGGGTCTTAACACACAGGCGCAAATTTGTACTCCGGTAACAACTTAAGAAGACACGCCACAGGATGAACACTGATTACGCTTCGGAACACTCCATTTTTCGCAAGGTGGTGCGGGTAGTCAAATCGGGACTTTCATTCGATCGTTGGTTGAGCTGCGCTGGGGCATTCTTTTTTGCGTTTGTCCCGTGTACTTGTGACGTCACAATGAGACGACCTTACCATGATGTGGCGGTTTGTCTGCCTCTGCGACCCACTGAGCTTTACGGGGGTGTCTCATACCAGTCTCATACCAGGTTAGTAAGTTGATATAAGCTTGACTGACAAACACAACCTCGTTGTACTCCAGGTTGGGGTTGAAACATGTGTGTTGACTTGGCTTTTCGCAAAACTAATGCACTGGCATTTCCCGTTGAACATTTCCGCCTTGCGGTCAGGGTTTTGATCCAAAGACTTTGGTTGTCACACCGTCTCGGCGTAGTGTCTTCCGCCGCGTCGCCTTTCTTGCTTCATACAACAGGGCGGTAAGCTAAACCAGGCTACTCCTGACGTTTCCCTTCCTTCAGCTTCACATACTGCTTTTCTGCTCTCCCCTACACATTAGCAACACTCTCGTAGGCCTCTCCATTAGGACTGATGACCCAGTTGGTCTTGCATCGGCTTTGGTCTCGACGTCTGCGGCTCCGTCGGCGCATACAGCCTCAATTGTCCAGCCGATTTTGGTGTTCGCACTCCGAAAGAATTGAGATCATAAGCTGCTTTCACTTTCGCACTGGACTCACTTGACATTGGTATGTACTGTGCCTCAGAAACTAGGATTCAGTATCCAAGCGCAGTGGTTCACACGAACACCCGATCACTCTCCACTCGCTTCCGGCTCTGGCGACCCAGAGATCACTGCGGGAGGATATGCAGCTGTAGGTATCGTCCTAAGTCACCGCGAAGAATGGTCCTTGATTGACTGGACACCCGTTGATAATTATCTGTGCTGTTCGTTTGGCAACGTCCCTGAGGGAATCTCGAGTGGGTTGTTGATCTTTGTCTGTTTATCGTTTTTGCTTGCGCTCTGGGCGACTATAGTTCTGACACCATCAAAGGTAGCCTTTATGACGCCTTGAGTGTCGTGTTACGGCGGACTAAAAGCACAGATATAGTTGTAATTGTCAGCGATTCGAATTCACAAGTTGACAGGCCTAGCGCATCCGAGACTCAATTGAGTGGCCGACGTTGATTGTACTGCGTGCGCACAGACAACGGCGAAAGACTGCTTCAGCTACATACCGCATTACCGAAATGACCGAAATCGTTTGCCCACATGGTGAACAAACCTTCACACTGCGTCAGGTACTAGAACAACGCCGTACGTCATACGTATAAACCACCAGCAGTTTCAGTATTCCTGGATTTCCAAGGTGCATTCAACTCAGTTTAATTACCTGTTCTCTTCAGCACTCTCGCTAAGCCAGGGATATCTCAGACGTTTAGGAACGTTTCAGAGTACATGGAGAACTCCTCAAAAGCTTCTGTACACAAAGCAGTGTCCGTCAGGGCTACCCTCTCTCTCCATTCCTATTAAGTTT